GTGTGGAGCCGCGCTTCTAAGTCTGTGAGCCTCGCCTCCAATGCTGCTAGCATCTGACATTTATTACAAGTACCATTATCGCTAAAGGAGGCAGAGGAATAACTGAACATGCGACACTCCGAGCAAGAGAAAGGAGGAGAGGAAGAGGGGGAAGCCATTGCTCTCGATTAAGCTACTAGCTTAGCTAGCTTCTAAACTAGCCGACCTAAAATAGGAAGTTCAGTTTGGTAGTTAGCAAGAACTTCTGCAAAACAAGTGCTTTAAGTGGTGCAAGCGTATGTTGTCACTCAAAAATTTAGATGGACCTAAAAGATAGTGTTTAATTCCTAAGCAAGCACAACAAGCAGCAGGGGCTAGCCTCCTCTGTTTCACTACAAGCAGTGCAAATACAGAAAACAGGAAATGAGTACGGTTTACCGCAGGAAACAGCAGTCTGTCAAAGGTTCCACATCTCACAGGACCCCATATGAACTAAACACTGCTTGTCTCCAATCTAGGCGGTGACAAAGTCATTGATGTGATAGATGTGGCCCGGCAGGCAGACAGCAAGATGAAGCTCAGCGAGTTTATCAAGTATTTCACCAAGTTGCATCGACCCAAGGTCCTCAACCTCATCAGCCTGGAGTTCTCTGACACTAAGTAAGCTATACTGCACTTGATTCACAAGCACAGGTTCCTAAAACACTAGCTGTCATATCACAGTTCAGAAATTTTTTTTACAAGTTAACACTGGCTCACGGGAAAATGGTTTCCTTTGAATCATAGATATAATAATTGTATTGATTAAAATATGGGTTTTAGTTGAAATGGTATTCAAAAAATGCATTTCTGGATCCTTCCACTCAGGCAAATATAGTTTAACTTGTCTGCATTTCAGGCCAGATGACTTGGAGCAAATACAAGAGAATTGGAATTTGTCCTTAAATTTCAGTCATACAGCTAACACATGTATCCGGTGTGATTTATTTTTAATTTGTTGTAGGTTTTGAGTATCTTACTAGATGTACCTGACAGGGCACATGGCAGAAATTAGGTCTCGTTTATGGCTCTGAGATGTTTTAAAACTATAAGTCAACATTTCTAACAGTAATAACTGTACCCTAAACTACTTTCTGCCCCCACTCTAATCACCCCAGGATGTCAGAGTTGGTGGAGGTTCCTGTCGTGGCTCGGAAAATGTCCTGGGTAGAGAACTACTGGCCAGATGACTCCTATTTCCCCAAACCCTTTGTCCAGAAGTACTGCCTTATGGGGGTCAAGGACAGCTACACAGACTTCCACATAGACTTTGGAGGCACCTCTGTCTGGTACCATGTTCTCTGGGTAAGTGTAGACTAGGGAAGAGCTGTGTCGCAAAGACATGTTCAAGGGCAAATGAACTGTTTGCTGTTTAATCTAAGTACAAGCTGCTCTCACATTTGTCAAGCTCAGTGATTGTGTGTATATACTGAGGTATTTGGGGTAGGCAGTTGCAACTGATTGGCTTGCACTTGCTGAAAGGTCACCTCTCTTTTCACGTCACATCTCTTCAACATGCGGCACTGCTGTGCCCACAGTATAGATGTCACCTCTGCCTCTTCTGTAAACTGTAGCTCACATTAATGTCAAACTAGATCAGGGTGGGGGTGTGTATGCGTGGGAGTCAGCATCATCACAGCTACCACGCTTTGTGTCATTGAGGTTTAAGCATCACTTCACTCACACTCCTCTTCCTCGGCTTTGCAGGGTGAAAAGATCTTCTACTTGATCGAGCCAACTCCTGCTAACCTTGCGCTATATGAGGCATGGAGCTCCTCACCCAATCAGAGTGAAGTGTTCTTTGGGAACAAAGTGGAAAAGTGCTACAAGTGTGTTGTACCCCAGGGGACCACCCTGCTCGTCCCTACAGGTGTGTAAATTAATTAGCCTATGTGAAGTTTCTTGCATGTTTTCATACGACACTAGAACTCTTTGGCCCAGTTTAGACTTGATATTAAAATGCATCTCAGTGATCCAGTCACAAGTGGACAGCTGAGACGCATCACCATTCACACCTGTCATTATACATGCACCTCTGAATTGCCCAGCTAACCACTTGTGTTCAGATTTCACTACTGCTGTGACACTTGCTGCTTAAATATTGAAAGGCCACAGGCACAATTAATTACATTGCAAGATGAGCACCAATAGTCTCCTGAACCAAAGAAGAAGCACAAGATGCGCCAGATTGTGCATAGATGTATTATGAAAAGTTTTATACACAATACAATGATGGATTTGTAACAGATGTTTCACTCCATTTCATCTTTTTTTGAGTGTTGTCACCAAAGCAACCACCATGTCCTGTGTTGATGATATAGTTTCAAACGGCCTTGTCAGAGATTCATCAGGATGCATTAGCATTTACACTACAGAAAATATGTGGTTAAACGCATCCCAGACCACCTTGGCAAATGGTTTCAGTGATTCGATCACTGTCTGTCATGGTCATTGTTTAAACATGTATTTAGTGCTGTCCACTTGTGATCCATTCACCCAGGATGCAGTTTCAAACCAAGTCTAAATGGGGTCTATGTTGGACGCCTTTTTATGTTCTTTTTACACCTGTAGTTTGGTTCCTTTGTGGAAAATCTCTATACTGTTCCTGCATACTGACGTGCATGTGTTAGGATATTGCAAAATGATTTACATAAAAATGATACAGGGATGTGTAAAAGTTTTAAGGCACAAAAGTAAAGGGTGGATGCTTTCAAAAATAATTCCCTGAATAGTTATTTGTCACTTAACTTCATACAAAGTGGAGTAAACAGAAAAAAGCTAAGTCAGATGACTATTTGGTGACCACCCGTTCTCTGATTTGGAACAACCAACATCTCCCATGATGGTTGTTCCAAACATTTTGGAGAATCTGCCATGGTTCTGTCCCAGTGCCTTCTGATGTTGAGATCAGGGCTCTGTGGGACCATCCTGCAGGACACCTTGTTCATCTTGTTACTGAAGGTGGCTCTTTGATGCTCACTCTAAAATGAGCTTAAAAAAAACACCCTCAAATCTTGGATGATAACTTTCTTTGTGGTTTCCACGCACAATAAAGTTCACACACTCAGACATCCAGCTATTTGTCAGCTAATGTTACATGATTACAGTTGGTGCCTGGCTAACTGCTCCTCACTGACTCAGCTGACCTGTCGTCTGGAGTTGTCTTTTCACATGCATTCAAACATTGAAATAACCATGATTCCCATGGCTCCTGCCAGGAAAATACAGGCTTCTTTAAAGTCCTTAGTCATTGCCAAGGGAAAATAACAGAGAGGGAATTTCATCCTGAGCAGCAACCTAAACAGTTCTTGGTGATTATAGTTACAATGGAAAAATGAAGCAAAACAGAGCTCTTTTTTTAATATGATGAAAGACGCTACATTCTTAAAGGAATGTAACTACCAATATTGTTTATTAGAAGTTAAGAGGGTGAAATGTTTTTCATGCAGCTAATAGAATATGACGTGTTCATTCACTGAAGTGAAGCCAGTGTCCCCAGCCGTACGACTGTCCATCCATCAGTTTCTCAATGGGCTTTTTAAGCCGATGGAACTCTTTTCCTCTCCCCCCATGCTCCCAGCCAGACAAAGCTCAGCCCGTCAACTGCTGGACGTCCCCAATCAGTCTTCCAGCCCCATGCTTTCTCAGCAGGCTGAAGCAGCATTGTGAAGGGAGCTTTTGGGGGAGAGGGTGTGGAGAGTGTGGAGAGATGGGAATTAAGTGGGGGTCAGAGAGCACAGTAGGTCAGTCAGCCAGTGCATTATCAGGCCTGTCCATCAGTCTTAACCCCCCCCCAGGTTTTCTCTCAGTTTATGTTGTATAAGGACCAGTGTTTATCTGAGGGGAACACATCATTCTAATATACAACCTTATCTCTTTGTAAGTTTGACTGTGGGAAGATGAGAAGTTTGTTATTGCACATACAACATTGGGTCTGTTGTGCATATTGGGACATTTGGATGGGAGGTTTCTCTTGTACATACACACACATATTTTCTAACCTTGTGCATATTTGATCAAGTTGTTCAGAGTGAAGGTGAGATTCTCTCTGAAGTAGTAAGTCAGTGGATAAGCTGTGAACATTTGTGCTTTGGCGTCCCCTGCAGGCTGGATCCATGCTGTTCTCACCTCTCAGGATTGCATGGCATTTGGAGGGAACTTCCTTCACAACCTCAATATTGACATGCAGCTCAGGTAAACAGTTCACATAATACTAGACTGGCTTGCTTATATGTATTTAAAACTAATGCAATCTTGTGTCTGATATTTCATCATTAAACCTTTGTATTGTGTGTTGGTCTATAGGTGTTATGAAATGGAGCGTCGTCTGAAAACCCCAGACCTCTTTAAATTCCCATACTTTGAGGCCATCTCTTGGTATGTGGCAAAGAACCTCCTGGAAATGCTTAAAGGTGAGAGCCACGTGTGTATCTGTACAAATAACGAATATGAGAACACACGCTTTTACATGTTACATCTCAGACCTGTCAGTACCAGTATTGCTTTTCTCATAGAAACCAGTTATCTTGATATTTTATGAATAGATTTAAGTTTTTCATTTTGGAGTTTCTCTAGATTAAACCTTGTATGACATTTTTTTTCTTTTTCTTCCAGAGCTACGTGAGGACAGCTGTCCGCCACCAGCCTACATAGTGGAGGGAGTCAAGGCTTTAATCAGTGCACTGAAGACCTGGTTGAAAAGAGAGGTGAGAGTCGGCCACAGTGTTCCCACGGTCACCTGCACCTTGAGTATTTAACCTCCAGATGGTTACTGGTACACAGCAGCTGAGCTGTTTGTCCTTATCTCCTGGATGTGTGTCAGTGACCAACAACAGATGTGTCTCTGTTCACGTCTCCTATCTGTTATGGCTTTGCAGGTGAGTGAGCCCACCAGTGAGGTCCCAGACAATATCAGGCCTAACCATCTCATCAAAGAGCTGACCAAGGAAATCCGCTATCTGGAGGTAAGAAATGATTTGAGCTTTGAGGATAGCTAAGGTCACAAAATGATGTATCTGCTCTGGCTTTAAATGTATACTGCTGCTTGCAACAGACAACTGTAGTTGGAACATGCTGAGACAAACTCAGGGTGGTCAGTCCTCAGATACTGTGTTTGTAGCACTTTGCAAAATATCCACAGATGATGTCCTTAAATTTAGCAGTGTCCCATTAAAGTAAGCCATGTACTTGTGAAAATACAGTCAAATCTGAACAGTTATACTGTTATAATATTTCCCTCATATTCAAAGAAATATACAGCATTGCTGCAAATGAACTACAGCATAATTTCTGTCAGTGCAGTTAGACTTGGCTGTTAATATGATATTGAGGGGCACTCAGTTGCTACTTTTGCCTTGTGATCAGTTTTTCTTTGTTTTGTTGGCCCTTGTTACTCCATGTACAATGCAACGTAGGCTGGCCACACACAGGATACACAAGACAGCCACACTGACATCTGATTATGAGGCCACAAATATATATATAAAAAAACAGTTCAAATGCGAGTTGAAATATGGGTAACATTTCTAGCAAGTAATTTAAGAACATGTGGACCTCTAGGTTACTAACCTTGTAGACCTCTGACTGCTTGGTGTTTGATATTTACTCCTTAGGAGGAACCAGTCAGTGGCAGTAAGCCAGTGAAATCTCAGGGAAGTGGGTGCGGAGTAGGTTCTGGATCAAATGGCACTCGTGCCACACTGGAGAGGCTGTGCCAGGCTCGGCGGGCACGAAGAGCTGCCAGGCGACTTAGGGAGCAGCAGAGACATGCTCCTAGGGTGCCCTCTAACCTGGACATCTTAGAGCAGCACACCAGGGAGGTGCTGAAGCGGCTGGAGGTGGGACCGCTTGAGGAGGTGAGAATCAAGGAACATACAAATAGTAATGTTGTTACCTTGTGCATTTGTTTGTTTATAACTTGGTTGTGTGATTTTAAAGGAGCTTATGGTGAGTCATTGCCTGTATTGTGTTAGCATGTGGTCGAAGCATCTGTAATGGATTATACACAATGACTGACTCTGGTCTGTGCTGCTCAGGATCCGGTGTTCTGTGCCAAGGTTCACGGGAAATTCAACAAAGTGTCAACTGCATCAGCAGCTGCTGCTGCAGAGTCTTTAGAGGACAACCACCTACGGCTAATGCTGGTCAACGGCCGAATAATCAGGTGAGAGCTCACCTCTTTCTGGTCCACACAACAGTTTTGTTTATGTGTCTGATTAAATCAGGCTCAGCAACAAGTTCAGTCAAACACAAATCACTAAATAACAAAGTACATGATGGTAGAAATAAAGCATTATCAACCTTAAATAGCATTGAGAAATAACATGAAATGCAGGTAATTAAACAACAGGGGGAAATAAGCTGCATACATGCCCTCAAAATTTTAAGAGATGCAAATTTTGGTCTAAATATTTTAATTCTTTAACTCTACATTTAAAATGATCAGTGTGTTATGGAGGAGTGATAGTATTCAGGCATTTTATATTTGTGTTTTCAGAGATCTGAGACGGCCAGGCAGCAGCCCAGTCAAGATGGAGGATGAGCATTCGTCTGTTTGCCACGGTCCACCAAAGAGCTGTGTGGGTGTGAAGTTGGAGAGGACACAGGACGGTCAAGAGCAGCACAGCACAGTCAAGAAGTCCACACTCCTCAGTAAGTCACCAAACAGTGTCATTATTAAAGCAGAGAAACTGCACCCAGATGTGTTCATTTTCAACACATTTAGCTGATGGTGTGTTGCTGTGTTTCCTCAGAGGGTCTGGAGAGGGTGAAGACTGAACTCAGGGAAGATGTCTCAGGACACTCCAGTGTGTCAGACATTGAGTCAGACAGTGACTCTCCCACAGAGGTAAATATGTATAGCTATACTGAGCTATGCTGTACTGAGCTATAACAGCATTTAACACTTCTATCTTGCTGAATTCAGTATTTCTGTTAACACCAATGATTTGAACGTGGTGAGATTAACTTGGTTATTTGGAGTCTGATGTTGTAGTGGATCGTTTTTAAAGTATTAGTCCCTAGAGTACTGTCCCTTAGTTCTGCTGATGACTAGATGTTTTGCATTAATTTCATTTGAATATCAGCTGGAGTACAAAACATTTAATGCGCTACATCTGATCCTCGAATTACAAATGTAACTCACATCATTCCAGGGCTGTGCTGGTACACAAACATTATTCTTTTAATGGAACTGTGTGCTACCTATTCATGTTTGGATTACTGATGCATCTTCATAAATTTCTTTGCCAATGTAGCGTAAAGTATCATCATCATCGTCATCATCATCCTCCTCTTCTGACGAGGATTCAGAGAGTTCCCTGGAGGAGGAGGAACAGAAAGGCTCAGGGCACACCATAGAGCTGGACCAGTGTGGCCAGAAACTCAGGCACAAATACAAACCACTCAAACGGTGAGAAACACATTTGGAGATGTTGAAAATGCTCCTATTAATATGAAGATGTGTATTATTTTTGTGGGCAGGGATTGAGTGTGTCTTTTCTGCCCTGTGCAGAGACCGTCCTACCTCACCCAGCACAGAAGAGGCCATTCAGGGGATGCTGTCTATGGCTGGTCTGCTGTGCTCCTCCAAGCCAGAGAAGGTAGCCTCATCCCAGGAGCCCTGGTGGTCAAGCTCGAGCCAGTGTTCACCGCTGAAACAGAGGGAGGCGGTGCAGTGCCGGCTGCAGGGGGACAAGAGCCTGATGGACAGCCAAGGCAACAGCAGCAGTGAGGCCTGGGACAATCAGGGGCTCCCCAGCCCTCTCAGCCGAAGCCACGCCACCGGTCTAGAGACAGACTACCAGTACTGTGACCCCTCCATGTCTCCACCACTGCACCCCTCCAAGAGGCATGCCCCCAACCCCCCACCAATCAGCAATCAGGCCACAAAAGGTTTGGAAATCACATTAATTTTGCTTCTGCCACCAAAAAAAAAATTTCAAAACACTCCAAGTCTCCCCTACATTCATGTTAGTTTTACATCACATGGACATTTGACCTTCACTGTGCAGAATTTCATACTACAAGGCTTTTTTCATTTAACTGCTGAAGGGGAAATGTGCATTAAAATGTGAAATCATTTTCTATTTGTCCTCCATGATAATAAATAGTACAAAATATTAAGATGAATGAGAAGAAATGTTATGTTTTCTGGGGAGATGTAGTCCAGATGATTTGAGAAAAAATTGGCAGGTTAATTCCCAGTGAAATTAATTAGACAAACGGGAAGACATTCACACCTTTTATGCTTGACTCTAATGCTCTTCTCTTCAAATGGTCTTTTTCCCCCATTTCTTCAGGCAAGCGGCCCAAAAAAGGAATGGCCACAGCCAAGCAGAGACTGGGGAAGATCCTGAAACTCAACAGACACAGTCACGTCTTTGTGTAACACTCCAAAAACATCGGAGGCAAAACTAGAACTTGGATGTATTCTTGAAGGGGGGAAAAAAAGAAACATCTGTGTATTTGTTACCAGACACTTGTGTGCTCCAGGAAATGGGGGGTGGGGGGGGAGGGGGCTGCCTGGAGACAATAAACAAATCCTGACACACAAAACACGCACTGTGCATGCTGAGGAGACAGGGTATTGGACTACAATAAGTGCACGACTTCACTACAAGCACACTAAGAACAAAACAAAGAAGGCACTTCCAGAAGAGGAGCATGTGTTCTGCTGCAGGGAGAGGCGTTCAGACCGACAGAAGATATGTCCGAGGGCTACCAAACCAACATGACCGCTTGCTTTGCCAGGGAGACAGCAAGATAGCTATTGACTCTGATGCCGGCATAATCTGCATCACATTGGCTCCCCCCCCCCCCAACACACACACACACACACACACACACACACACACACACAAAACCTTGACTTGGCTTCTGTCTGCGAACAGCATGGAGGAGCAGGTGAAATACAGTTGTTTCTCCAACAGGGTCTTTTTTTCCCCCCCAGTGGCCCTGAGAAAAAGCGAGGCGCTAAAGAGGAGGCGGTGACCTGAAATTTCGAAATGGTGCTTATTGTTTGTATTTTTCTCCACTCATGCTTGTCTCTTCCGGTCCTCACCTCCCCCCTCCTTATATCAATCACACCAGCAATAATGACTTTGAGGAGAGAGGAAAGAGAGAGGCAGTACTTTGGTGGATTCACCCTTTTTTGTTTCTTTTATCAAGTTGGCATTATTCTGTTTGTAGAAAAGTCTAAATAGGTGCATTAGACTTTCACAATTTAGTGAAAAATGCACTCTCGACTGTGTGATCATTAAAGGGGAGATGGTCTTTCTGAGCATTTTCCGATAAAAGGAAGTTGCTCAAAGTGCTGCCTCTCACTGCCTTTGTTTTAAATAGGAATTTTGAGTCATTCACTCATTTCTAAAATTGAAAATGACTCATGATACCCTGCTTAATTTATTTCTTGTTTCATCTGTGATGTTTTTAATGTTATTTTTATGGAGTCTGAATGATGTATTTATTAATTGAAAGAGATAATGATTTTATTATATTTTGACCCTAAAAGCTCAGCTATTCTGAGGACTTTTTCCTTAATAGGGTTGTTTTTATTTTTTAATCTTTACCACAAACTTTTTGTATATGTGGATGTTTTAGAATTCATGCGACCATAATCTTATGAGTAGCAATTTACCTACAGATCTCAACCTTCTGTTCTGTCACAGCTCTTTTCCAGTTGAATAGATCCTGTGTTGATCCTTGTATATTCTAGTTTCCTTCTCTCCCTGTAGCCAGAGGTGCTGGTCTTGCGTGCAAATTAGAGACTAGGTTAGGTTGAGAAATGTCAGCTTCCATATTTACACCTGAGCTTGTTCAACTTGTGCCACTTACCATTTAGCATGGAAGAAAAAAACCCAAGTATTCTGAGCCACTGTGGTCGATCCAAAGTCAATGTATTCAGAAGTGCACGTTTGAGCAACTTCAGTGACTTTTTTTTTTAATGATACCAGCACTGATGTTTTGCTTGGGGTGTGCAGCTCTTCACTCTCAGGGAATGATGCCATGGACATAACCTTTGATTAAGCACCAGCCACATCATGGATGCAGATGAGATGTTCTGAGCACTCACTCAGGACTTTCAGCTTTGCATCCTGCTTTGAAGATGCTGAGGTTTGTTTGTTTTCCGTTCCTGGTCATAGTTTTCAAGCTGTAAGGATAATGTGTGCTTTTACCAGTCAGTCATTGTACCTTCACAGTACACTACAAACTTTATGTTGACAGATGTAAAAGTATTGTCCCCTACTGCTTCCTAAAGTGGTGTTCAGACTGAATTTCACAAGGTGTGACAACCCCATTCATTTCTATGGGGGACTGAATTCAATTCAGCGGACGCCTGATTACTTAGCCCTGTGCACCTAAAAGGTTGGATCAAAGTCATCTTTTTCGGCAATGCAATGTACTGTCATACAGTGGGGCACTGCGTTGACCAATCACATAATGGGGGATCATCAGAATGTAGACATGCACTGTGTTACAATGAGCATTGTGGCATGCTGCTGTTTTCCCGACAGGTGCGAACATGAAAGATAAGCTCCTCAACGCTGTTAAGGCCATTCACACCATTGCTGTAACATGCGCGCCTACATCGCAGCCCCCCAACAACACAGCCCCTTGCATTAACATTACAGGGGGTTGCGTTTCAGTGCGCTCAGTCTGAACACACCCTAACGCTTGGACCTCAGTATTACACAGAAAACGTGTCAACTGTAAAGGACACTTCACCCATGTAAATGACAGCCAGGCTAACTGTTGCCAAGTAGCTTTAAAATACTCTTTGAACAGCACGAGACTTTGAAAGTTTCGCTCAGGGTGACTGGTGGTGGATATGACCGATCCATATGTGATCAGTCAGCCCTGATGAGGTGTGTCACCTAATCTTAACACAAAGAACCAACTTACAAAATTAGCGTGAATCACATTGCCAGACTGATTTTCTCATCTTTTCCTTAAACTACACTTTAACCTTTGAACTCTTTGCATGTCAAGTCATGGGAGCTGGCCCGCAGGCAGGGTTTCTTATGAGCTGTTATTCATCGTACAGGATCTGTCCCCTTTTGCTTTTATATTCAGCTCTCTTGGCATTTGTTATGTGCATTGTTTCTTGTGATGGTTTTTCCAGATTTAAATGGTTTATGATTTAAAATATACAGACACTGGCTAACTGTGACACTGTTAATGCATCGCATTTTGTTTCTGCATTTCAAAAACTGCTTGTAAATAAAACTGAGAACATACTTTTGTTAGTCAAGCCTCATCCAACTGCATTTGCCCAATAATAACTTCCTGTTCTTAAATCAGAAGTTGTGATTATACAGCTTGCTATATTTTAATGTTGATATTTATACTGCAGTTTTACACAAAAAGACCACAATTGACCTTAAAGGAAATTTTATTTGTCTATATACAACAAAAACTTGCACAGCAGCTTCAGTCTCTCATGGTAATCTACAAAAAAAAAAAAAAAAAAAGTCTTTACAACTGTGGACATAACAGTCAGTTAGGTACACCAAGATATGTACTCTAATGCAATAAATCCTGTGGATTACAGGTATTCCCTTTTAAGCCCAATTTTTAGCATATATTTGTTCATATTTTCAAGTCAGATAAGCTATTAGTACTTCATGTTCAGCAATGTAGCCTGAATGTACAGGCACCTCTCAATGAATTACTTTGATACTGAAGAAAATAGTCACTTTCGGCTTTTTCCCGTTTAGGGGTCTCCACAGCGAATCGTCACACTGACGACTCGCATGTTGACATTTGGCACGTGTTTTACGTCGGATGCCCTTCCTGAAGCAACCCTGATTCGAACCCGGGCCTTAACCACTAGCCTACCAGGGACGGCTTTGATACTGAAGAAAACAAAATACCTAATATTTCTCAGACAAGTTCTGAAGCATTTTATAATCTATGGCTTTTGAATAAACATCCATAAACCCACTTAAGATGGACATAGATAATATCACTGTGACGTCCACCTTACACTAAATAACCATTATGTTTATAGCATGTGCATTAGAATTTGATAATCAAATTTAAGTCCAACTCAAAACACACAGCTGAATGTCCATGTATATTACAGACCATATCCTGTAATTTCACTTAAATACCCTGTCCAGTAAGAGACATTAACCAGAGACCACAGGGAATAATATTTACTACTCCCCCTGTAATGGTGATCCTATCCAAATGGGCCTTAAGTCTGGCTCTCCTGGGGTTACCCGGCTTTCCAAAGCTGGTCAAGGGTCTCTGTTAACTCTGGAATTTCACTTCAGCTAAGACTGTGCTCATGTGCAAGAGGCAGGCTTGTTAATTACAAGCAACATCATAGGAATTAAATAAATGTTAAATAACTTGCTATATGGCAACTTTGATACCAGAAATCTTAAATTAACCCAAAAGATAACTGTCTGAGCTGCTAGTCACTAAATCAAGGGGGAAACTAAGGAAATCACCTTATTCCTCATCATCTGGTGGGATTCCAAGCTCTGCATCTGTCCATTCAGAAGCATCAGGCCAGGGGAAGTGACCCTACAGAACAGGAAGGAATCCTAGTTATATTCCCACTAACACCCTGACAAAAATGTCTGCGTCCGGTTTAGACACAATGCATACTGTATGCAAAACTTCTGGGCACCTGAGTCACATGTTTAGTTGATTTTTGTAAATGAAAACTAAATATAACTCCCCAACAAACAATTTAAAAAAAAAATCTAAATTACCTTAAAACAAATAGGGTAAAAAAAAAACCCTTTTGCTTAGTTATATATCAAACAATTTTTAAACCCATGAGTAACTTGGTCATTCTAACAACCCCACTGTATGAACAATAAACAGGAGTTATGCAGAATTATACACGTGAGAATAAAGTCATTCAATTGCAATGTTTCAGGATAGCAATTTTTCAAGGTCCTGCTTTGGGTGACACCCATCTAACTGACTTTCTACACTGTAGTTTCATGTTTAATGCAAATGAGGTTGAACTCAGTAAATATATACATATACACACACGTGGGTACTTACTAGTACTGCATCAGAATCATGCCAGAGGTGCCAAAGGATCCAAAACCACATAGCACCACTGAGAAATTCCGCGTCAAATTTCTGTTTCTTCGTTAGCTGAGGATACTGCCTGTACAGTGGCTCAATGTGCGGACCATCGCTAGCCCTATAACATCAAAAAATACATTAATACTGAATGAATGTTGGATAATATAGAATGCAGGCTATAATATTAGACTGTGTTGTGAGATTTAATGGCTCTGATATCTTTAATTTAACGATGTACTAAGTAGTCGTTGTAGTTAGCGGGTTTGACAATAACGTTACTCACTTTCTGGTTGGTATCCTTTGTGGACCGCGTCTAAACAGTTGAGTACCTGTGCGAAGGATTCCCAGTGTCCTCCCAAAAAAAGACATTATTGCTTATATAACAAACAATCGTCTTCTTTTGTCTAATATATTAAGGTTTGTACGACGTACTTCCAAACTTAAGAGGAGTCACCTTGTCCTCTTGTCAATAAAGAACATCTAAACAACATCAGCTGTGATTGGCCAGAGAGACAACCCATGTTGTTCCTCGGTGCTAATTGGCTGGGGGAGGGAGAGAAGAGAACAGCGTCATCTCCTGATTGGTCTATGACATGACTTTATTTTTCTTGATGTGTAGTCTATTCGTGCAAATTTGGAAATTTAATTATTTAAATACCCTAAATACATTAAGAAGTCCCTTACAATCACTTAAGTACTGCGCTTAAGCTCCAAATTGAGGTAGCCTTCTTGAGTATATACATTAGCCTATGTGCCACTTTATTCTTATACTCCACTACAATTCTCAGTATGCTACTTTTTACTCCACTGCTACATTTATTTGAAAGTTTTATATCAAATTCAGATTAATACAAAATGTGATCGACTAATGTATGTATAGGTTAAGATAACACATTATTACATCAGTAGTTTGATTTCAATATTACATACATTACTTTGAAGTGTGCCATTATGCATAAGCAATTTTATGAGTAGACTTTTGGAAACAGTTCATTCTTCTTCTTATCATTATTATTGAAAGGAGGGGGGGAAGTAACATAACCGATATAAATTAGACCATGTTGATTATCCTATTATTATGGTACACTTGCATACGCCACTAGATGGAGTCAAAATCTAATCAAAACTACGAAGGGATGAAGGCTTCCGGATGTGTTGTACCTCAAACTGTTCCGTCTTTAAATTTTGGATGAGAAAAGTGGCACAAGTAAATAAAGTGCTTATGTGACTGGGATACAAACACAGGTAACCAAATCTCGGATTGCAGAAATTATTAATTGTTTTATTTCAAGGTTTACACGTCACTTTTAAAAGGCAAAATGTGGTTTTCTGGTCCAGTGCAGCTCAAACAACTACTACAAAAGTAAATATATGAGATCACGCCTCGGCTTGCTGCTCTGGTTGATAATTAACTAAACATTTCTTCAAATATGAAAACAGGAAATCACAGAGGCGAGAACGCGCAAGGCGCCGCCGCCCATCAGCTATCAACTCATGCACTGACAGAAAAAAAAATCCCCTACGCCATCTTGTTCTTAGTCCATAACTCAAACTAATGAAGAGGACGTCAATTTTGTTTTTCTCGCCAATCGAATAGTCCGTTCTCCACGTCATGAACAAATGACATGTTGTCGCTTCGATCCACCTAGCTTTTTGTCCTGACATAAGCGTCTCTAAGAAACGAAAGACCCACTGATGTTACATTGCTACCTAATGGCGCCTAGTCGAAACTGCTCTCCGGTTGCACCCCTCTCCCCTCACAGCTCAAAGCCCGCCCACAAATGCTAGCTGCATGATGTCATCAGAAATCAACCATTTCTCAAAAATGACTAATTTTCATTGCTTTTGAACATTTATGAATCTCACACCAAATGTGCGTCATTATCTCAATACAAGAGTGACCAGATTATCTTCAGACGATCACGCAATGGTTATAGATTATCCTTTCCGAAGAGTCGACAATGACCGTTCAATCGTTGGATCCTCCACAGCCGTCTGCGAACATCCCCTTACAGTGGCTCGATGGGCCACTTTTTACCTCCGTCCTCCCTCAAGTTTATTTTAAACAACCTTGCTGCCCGTACATCAGCCTTTGCAGCGGTCCTGGATGAGTGCGCATGCGCGGGGGGATGCGGTTTAGGGTGGGGGAGGGTCAATAAATGGAAAAGGTGAGAATATCCTCTCTCAACATATGATGTCAAAGGGATTTCTACAGACATTTCTGTCGGAAAAATGCGAGAATTGTTTTTTTTTTCCCCAGAGTCAGACTTGTTGAATAAATTAAAAGAGCTGTAAACTTCAGCTACTACAGCTGATGGTTCCCCACAAAATAAATTATATTTTACAAAAGCTTTAATTTTGGGTTTTAAAAGAGTCCAAGTAAGCCTATACACTGTAAATTTGGTTGATTCAAATTTTTATAACTGAGTAAAGTTTATTAGACACCATAAGCCACGACGGCACGCATGTGTTTGGCTCGGAGTACGGTGTGAATGATATAAAGTGTGACATAGCCAGTTAGGCTATGTCAGAGCCCTACTTAAATTTTCCTGTAAGCTAAGATCTGTTTTCATTTTCCACTGTTTAACCTTATTGGTCAGTGTTTCATAGGCTACCCCTCACTGACATCAGTTCAATGTACACAACTGCTCTTGTGTAAGGGGTTACATAACCTCTTAGCTGCCTCATACTGCGCTGGATAGCGGATTTAGGTGCTCATTTTCCGCCATGCCAGTGGTAAATAAAGCATTTTAGTCAAAATGGCCACATTTCGGTTTTGTAAACTTGGGTAGGCTTACGTGTCACAAGAGTTTTGGTGTGGCAGTATTAATAAACTGGACTGCTCTACTCAGCTAGACTTGTTGGGTATCCAATTACCGCTGTAGCCTGGTTGTATAAGAATCTAGAAAAAATGCATAGAGCCTATACATAAATAAAAAATGGATTCAATGTGAACTGTGTGGTTTGATGAGGAAGTGTATCCCCACACTAAACTGAGATGATACTCTTTTTACTCTATGAGGAAGAAGAGGAGACGGGAGGAAACAACAATAAGGCTAGTTTAAACAAACTCGCTTGTTAAAAACATTCCCACGGTTGACTATCACAAGATAGTCATGACGATAGCACGGACTGGTGTAACAAGCATACCGCGTTATGTGGGTCCTGAATTGCACAAGATACTGCAATTTATTTGACAGGTTGTTATAATGAATACAGAAAGAATTATCATGTATACATTATCTTACGTGCTAATATAATTTCTACTACTTGACCACTTGACAAGCATTCTTCAAATAGTGCAGCATAACTTAAGTCCAGAACGTCACCGACAGAAATAGCAGACTTGAGGAATCACAATCATGAACGCGCCTGTAAGTACGATCACTGCGCCCCTGTGAAAACGGGAAGGTAGCCCCGCAGTGTGTGGAGGCGGAGCATGGTTTTAGTGTTGGGAAGGGAGGGGGGCTCGTGGGGGAGGCGGAGTCTGAGCAGTCCTGGCAGGGCCGCCATTTTTGCAAGGGGAAAAGAGACTGGTTTGAGGGATCTAATTTCTAAAATTCGCCGTTGACTAGGGCACAGTTTTAACGGTTTCAAATTCAATTCTATTCATATTTGGGCCCCTGCGTAGAATAAGGGCAAGGGATTTTTACAGGAAGGGACTCTTTGAAGATACGTGTAGATACAAACATTTTAAAGCTTTGCTAGCGATCCGCAGTGTGTGGACAGAAGTATTGTTTTGGTTGTGGAAGCTGTGTGGAAAGCGACGGGGGTCTTACCCAGGTCCCCTTATTCGCCATTCAGATCCTCCAGAGTGAACATAAAACGGTAAGTAACCTGCATTACGTTTTAGATGTACGATGAGCACAAATCCGGCTATTGTTGGCTTTAGTTAGCTGGCTAGGCACATCATGCTGATACTGGCTAACGTAGTTGTACTATCAGCTGAGTTTAGCATGAGAGCTAGCTATCAACACCGTTACTTCGGGGTGTGTAGTTGCTTTGTCTATTTTTCTTTAATTTTTACCTTGATCAAAAACTGAAAACGGCTAACGAGATGACGCAAGCTTCCAATGTAGGCCTAAATGTCATGTTGTCAAGCTTATCGCCAAGAGACCACTTGCTAGCTAGCGCATGCTACTGGCTCAAATTAGTTTGACACAGACCGAGCGCGGCTCTGACTTCTCGTTGATATTGTGGCAATACACGAGACGTCATACAAAGTTATCAGGCAAATATTATTTACAGATCGTAGTGACCAATATACCAAACAGTTAAAGCAGAATTATCTCTCATTACTCTTTAACGTTGTAGGTAATATTAACGTAAGATGAAAAACGCTGCAGTTCACGTTATTGTCTGCTTCAGTAGTAACGTTAGTCTTCGTTTAGACTCAGTTTTCAACAGTTAACATTTCCAGAAGTGAACTTGGTCTAAAAATACGACATATTATTATTCGCACATTTTAATCTAATCATCTAATTATTGAGGAGCTCGAGGTTTAGTTTGACAGTGACACTGCGGGCAGTATTGCGCACGGATTTATCCGTTATGGTGTAAATAATGTGATCTCTTAATATAACGCTATCCGCTTTATTTCCAGCCAGTTGATTTAATGTACATTAGCCAAGGTCCTTGCAGCTTTTGGCAACCGCGCTAGGTCTTTTTGTTTCTGGTATAGCGTGTGTGTGTAGCATCGTTATGTAGCCGAAAAACAGTAAATTTAGCATTAGTTACAAACTTGAATTTGTCGTGGTAGTCCCCATCCTGCTCAGAGTACAGGACATTGTTTCCGTTTGGCAAAATTTCATACAATGCAACTGTTCAAAGCAGGAGAACAATAAGCTTTTGCACGTACGTAAACAGATGTAACAGTACGTTTGGTCTATTATGTCCTAGTTTGCTCAAAGCTTGAGCAGCTGTTATAGTATCTCACATTCCTAGCTACATTGCGCAGGACTGGCTCCTGAGCTTTTAGAGAATCGCAGTTATGATCAGATGATGTGAAGAACCGATAAGTTACAGTGTCAGACGAGAAACAGATGGCAGCTGTTTTGTTGTAATTGGACTTAAAGTACATTTTGCGATTACCTAATTTAGAATCAGGACTCATGGTGTGTTGGGTTCAAATGCTGCAAGCGTGGGGGAGGGGGGTTTACATATGGGCATCTCGCCCCAGTCGTACAATTTACTCTTTCTCAATTGGCAACCCTAACTATGCTGCAACTACACTATTCCAGTTGGTTGTTTTACCTGACTTGAAATTAATCACCGTATGAATGTGCATCCCGCTTTAGTTTGCACTCCACAGTTATCTCTCAACGCTGATGTTGTTTCCTGTCTGTATCTAGCCAAATATTAATCCACTTCTTTCGTGTCGGTGCTAGCTTGCTTTGCTAGCCCTCTACGCATAATGCCGTTAGCTTCCGTAGGTTACAGTTAGCTTTGTATGTTACTGGACTGTTATTTTTGGCCTTTATTCACGACCTAGCATCACGTTGCTGTTTTCTACTTAAAGCCAAATTATAAGGCGCTTCGTCCTTCGGTTGTCTCACAACTCGGAACAGCATTACATTTAACCTTCTAACAGTTAGTCATATTTCGGCCATTGGTGGCCATAATTACTAGCTGATTAGCTTACTGGCTTTGCCTTCGACGAATTCACAAAAACCCTAATGGTAACAACACAGAGAATGTACCGACAGAGTGATACTTAAGTTAGAGTGTATGAAAGAGGCGATTGAATGCTTTCTCGGGGATTTTCTTCCCACGGCGAGGCTCCCCTGGCCACACGATTGTTTCGCCGTCCCGAGAAAAGCGCTATGAAAATGGCGACAGCACCAGGGTGTTGTGGTAACATAATAGCAACGTTGTACCCTCCACACCCCTATCGGTAGGACTGACTGCAGCGCCGACACACTCACCGGGAAGCAACTACACAACACATGATTTTGAGTTTAGTTGAGGTTAGGTACAATAATAACGTCAAAAGCAATCAAAATCGTGCCTCGTTAATACTGTGCTTTTTGCCTTGTCATATTATCAGTCACTGATGGCCGTGAGCCTATTCCCAAAACGTTTAACAGCCCAGCAACATACGTCACGTCTTATGCTGCTGCTCGTGTTGTAATGTTGGATGTTAGAAGACGAGGATTTTTGTCACAGAAAATTACACACAAGTACTTGCAATAGGAAAATACCGCTAAGAGCTTCTTGAGATAGTATTTGGCTTCACTAAGGTACCCAAACACACCTTTCTGTAGTTTTCAGTGTAAACCCCTCTGCTCTAGTGTGATGGAAATTGTCTCAGTGTTTTATTAAAACACTGGGTGGATGAGAGTGGATAATAATTAGTAGGCTGAATTTAAATATCATTTAAGGGGGATAGTTTGATGGCCATAATGAGTATAGACTACATTCATCACTCAAAGTAGCTGGATAATTCATTTGCTTAAGTTTAAGACATATAAGGGATAATGAGACATATAAGGGATAATGTTCATGGCATTTGCTTAAGTTTAAGACTTGAGACATATAAGGGATAATGTTCATGGCAAATCAGTATTATAAGATGTCTCCCAGTTTATATTTTCCAGGATAATACAATAGTCTACAGTTGCCTAGTACATCATGTAAACCTTTGCTTTGGTCACACTAGATCCTAATCTTGCAGACTGCCTCAGCACAATCTCATATAATTGAATACGTCTAAAATTTAATGTTTATTAATGCCATTAGCAGCAAATGTGGTCCATACAAGTTTCATTTTCCCAGATTTGTGGCTACAATTTATTGCTAGAGTAAAGTTGCATTTTAACTTTAGTGCCATCTAAAACCAGGACTAAAAATATGGAGGGATCCAAGTTGAAGCTAGTTTTCAGGATGGCGTTTTCAAGCCTATAAGCTTTCACAAAATATTGTGATGCTATGGCACAGCTGTTCACTCCCTACATCACCCCGTGGGACAAACGTTGGCACCTTGTGCAGCTTAAGATGCTTTTTCATGGCTGTTGCCCAAATGCGTTTTTTCTCTTTTCCTCTTGATAATTTTGATGTATAAGCAACTGAGTTAGTTACTGAAGCAATTGATGCATCAGATTACCCTATTAAGCTTATATTACTGTAAAACCTATCAATAACATAACTGTGATTTACATCACTGCAAGCAGCTGTGTAGTTGTTCTATCAGGATGTTACCTGGAGAGAACCCACACAGGCACCGGGAGAACATGCAAACTCCACACAGAAAGGCACCGGGTCGGCCCAGGCTCGAACCCAGAACCTTCTTGCTGTGAGGCAACGGCACTAACCCCCCCTTCAAATATGCCATGTAAAATTGGCAGGCACCTGAATGGTCTGTATAGCTTCTGCCCATTTATGGTCAGTGTAGTAATGAAGTTAAGCTGCCTATGGATTTGGTTCACAGAAAAGTAAGTGGCAAAGGGTTTTCTCCTCTGTGGAGGGGTTACTCCTACTAGATAAGTGAGAGGGACCTATTGCACATTCTTCTTCATAATACACAAAATCCCCAGCCATCTTGTTCTTCCTTATAAAGAAGCAGAGACCTCCGTCCTCATACTCCTTTCTTTTTCCCTGTCTACAATAGAGCTTATGATGTTAAATACCTGACTGACTGTATATATGTGCTCTTGCTTGCTCACGATATGTGAGTTTGCTTGCAGTGTTGACAGAGTTGGTGATGGGAGGTGCCCCCCCCACATCCCCACACACACAAATACACAGGAACAGAGCACTCTGGCAAGCGTCAAGGAGACAAGCAAGTCTCAGATGACATCTTTCCTCTCACCTTAACCCCTAGACACACTCTCTGATGCACATATAATAAAAATCCCCCAAAATATTTCATTTTTCAGTGTACTCAGCAGACAGAGAAACAATAAAGTAGTCAGGCAAGTGCACAATACTGACATATTGATAGGGTAGATGATGGCCACAGACTCATCACTTTCCTCTTTGGCACCTCTCTCATACATGGAAGGTCTTTTCTTGTTTTGCTCTCCTCTTTTGCCAGACAATTAACTTTCATCCCTGAAACAGTAGCAGCTCTGTGTGGGCCAGATGTGGGTCTTTGTAGATACACACCTCATCATGTGGGGCCAAGTTGTGTGTTTGTGGCCTGGTCTCCAGTGATCTCACTTGTGTGGTACCCAGATCCTGAGAGACCAGAGACAAAGCTGCCTGGCTCTGGGGTCCAGCACAGTCACATGACATCCCAACTGGGAGTAGAAGCCTGAGCTCAGGTGACCTGTTTTTGTGCTGCTAGCTGGGCCATAACAGATCCCTCTTTAAACTAGCAACCTGCCTTCCTGACAAGTGGCTTTAGGATAGGGACTGCTGAGGCCTTAACAATCTTCCTGTTGCTGTGCCTGTGTTAGAGTAGCATTCATGGGTAGTAGCACAAGGCAAGATGGGCCATCAGTGTTGGTGATGTAACGCCATTGCGGTCCAGGCGTGAAATTGATCATCAAACACTACTGTAATGGGACCTGAGTGGCTGTTAGTGTTTTGCCCTATAGATGCTGAGCAGCCTCTCCCCCATTTTCTCTGCGCACACATGGGCACATACATAGCTCACATTTTCATTAGCTGCCCACTGCATTCTCCAAATGCTGTAATTAGCTGCCTGCAGCATATGTGCCTGCTTGTCACTCTCTGAATATTAAACTGTCCAAGTTCAGGTGGCATATTATATGAGCCTTAACCATCACAGTCACACAGATGAAGATGTGACATGAAGTGAATTGGTTAGGTTGATGTAATGTAAAGCCACTGTATGTAATGTATGTAGTTTGCAAATGTTTAAAGGAACTCACCTTTGACCATATGTAGCCTGACCATGATATTCAGTGAATAAGAGCACGAGAGAAATAGAAAGACGGTGCCTGCAGGGTTCTCCTGAATAGACATTAGTCAGACTACAGGAGGGCTGCCCCAGCTTTGCTGCCAGATCCTGTTCCTACTGATTTTAACTCACTCACTCCCCAGTTGTTTGAAATGAGCACAAAGGACATTTTTGATATTCATACTTTGTTTTTTGGTTTTGTTTTTCTTTCATCATATCACATCACATAATTTTCTAACATCACTACTCCGTAAAGGGTTTTAAGGCAGCAAAATAATTTTGTTTGGCAGGTGCCAAGTCTGTTATTACACACTAACAGTTCTGTACCCAGCGTGAAATTAATATGCAATATTAGGGTGGTCCATCAACAGTAGGGTTTTAAAAAAGGGTTAGTTACACAGCGAGGCACATCTTGCTTTGTGTCCACATCAGATTGTGAACCTTTGTGCAAAATTTCAGATGGATTTGGCAACATATACAGGTCCCCCAAAATGTTGACCTGCAGTGGGTGTCTGAAATTCTGTTTTGGGCTTTTTGATTCATGTTGGTGCATCGAAATTTCATGTATACCACTATACATACATTAAATTTAACCCTCTAACATAATTTTTCTTTGTATTCGATGTTCAGTTCAGTGTGGCTGTCAAGGACATTACTGTCATCAACAACACTGCTGAATGTGCGATCACTCTTGCAGCAGATTTTTATAGTTGTCTTACAAGAGACGAGTCTCAAAAACGGTACCCCATGAAGGCGACTGTGAAGCATCGTAACAATATGTCATCATTTGCGAAATCTGTCTTCCTTTGAACTGAATAGGACTGTACGGTTATTTCAGTCCATTAAGATGATGTTTATGCTTTAAAAGCATTGAGTAGTGGCTACAGCAAGTGGAGCGTATGTTTAATGACTGGTTGCTGATTTCATGTGAAACTGCAAATAAGTGGTTTAATCGGGCATTGTTTCTGAAACATTTTTGGGGGACCCCTAATTTTGGGGCTATGCAGGTAAAATTTCATCCATGTATTCTCTCTTTAGTGATTGGTACAAGATTTTGCTGTGACTTACAGTCTTTCTATCAGCCTTCTGCACTGCAGATCCTCAATCTTTATTGTTTACTAGTTGCTAATTTGTGGACATGAACACCGCAGCATCACAGCTGCTTCATCGTTTGTTATTGCAAGTGCAAACCATTTCTTCAGACTGTAAGAGCAGTCCACTTAAAAGTCACAGTCCCTTGCTGTGGCCCCAAAAAATCTTGTGTGGATGTTTACTTCTATATCCCGTGCTGTATTGATGTATGGCTTCACCTTCAGTCTCAAGTGCAGGAGCAGCGCTGGCAGCCACGGGCAAACTGCTTTATGAAGGATGTGGCAGACTCAGTATGTCCCACTGTGGGCACTGTGGAAAATAGGGCCAAGCCTGCATTCCATCTGGGTCATGCTTCCTGTGTATATGACTGTAGTTTGTTTTATCCATTTGTTTATGAGCTGAGTCATTGCAGCCAGCAATGAGGATGGTGTGAAGTCACATCAGCTTGGCAGGCAGGCTGTGGGCTTCAGTTGGAATCTCTCATTTTCTCTTGCTCCTCCTACTTATTGAAAACATAATCTGCCGAGACTTGGCTGTGAAAACTAGAATGAAAACACTGTTACGCATAGAGCAGTGGTAATAAACTGAGGAGAGAGGGAAGCTGTCGTCTGTAGCGGCATGGCTTGAGCGTGATGGTGTGGGTTCTTCTTTACTGACTTCGATGCAGTTCTGTCTTTAAAGGATAGTTATTCCCCTCACAATGACGTGACTGTGTCTCCTTGCTGAGGGAGTGAAGCAGGAGAAAGCAGAGAATGGGTTGCGCTATGTGCTCCACTCTGCCACCCAGAGTCCACCCAGGACTAGGCTGTGTCGACAGACCCCATATACACCTCCCCCACCCTGCTGCCCTCTGAAATGGAGGGGCTATGAATGATTTCCAAAGCTTCCTCCAATGCATGGACATGAGAGTACATGAAAGGTGAACTGATGTGCCGAAAACCTAAACAACCTCCATCCTGTGGTTCATTTTACTGTTACCACTTTTACCACTTTTGCTACGTGTCTTTTAATGTCTGTGTTCCTGTTCTATTCACCCTCCCCTGTGCATGTTCCCCATTTTCCCCACCCCTTGCGCCTCTCATGCGTTTCCATAACAGCAGCGGATCTGGCCAAAGGTGGCTTTAAATGGTCTGTCCCAGCCTGTTTGTAACGAGGAACTGTGTCTGCGACACTCCCCTTCCCCTCCGCTCTGCGTTACTGTCCCAGGTTTATTTAGGAAGTACACAGAGGAGGGGGAGGAATCTGGCTGGACGGGGTGACTGGGCACAGGAAGAGGGATGGTGTCTTTTCTTTTCTTTTTTTCCCTCTTCTAGAGGAAGTAGGAGGAGCAGACAGAGGTAGCCACAGCACAGCTCAGATTTATTCAGGAATGTTGCTGTACTGTACTTGTTTTTCTTATTTCCCAGTCTTGACTTTGTGTCGCTGCAGTGCAGTGCAAGCGTTTGCACACTACTTTGAGAGCCTTCATATAGAGGAATGCTTGAAAGGACAGGGCGAGGGGTTATCTGTCTGTGTGTGGGTGAGCAGGTGGGGGGTCGATATGCATTCCTTAGTAGTGACAGCAGGATTCCCTGGATGAAGTGGAGACAAACCTACTGGATGAGGGAACAAACGGGCTGTTTTGGGGGGGAAGCTACTTACCAGTGCAAAAACATACTGGGCCTCTCAGATAATACAAAGGGGGGTTCAGTGTTTTTGGCAAACTGCCTTTTCTCTCTGAAAGCACAGCATTCTGGTTACATCAGCTTCCATCATGAAATGCCCCTGTCTGTGATATGACCATGCTGTTCATCCCAGTCACTGCACACAGTCAAGGGAGAATCTGAAAAGCTTCCCTATCAGTAGCCTTCACTGACTCACAAGGGTCTTCTTCCTCCTTTTAATTAGGCCTGGAGTTGACAGCTGTCATGTTTGTAAGCCTCATACCAGTTCTGCTGCCTACATTTGAGTGAATTAGTACCTGAGATTACTCTCACAGTTGTGACCCTGCTGCTGTTAAATTAAATGACCTATGAGAGTTTCTTTGACAGAAACAGCGCAGTCAGGTTTGACAGCGAACCTGGTAATGAAATACAATATGTGTATGTAAACATGCATGTGTGTGAGTGCTTCAGAGGATATGCTTAAGACATAGTGGACTGATACCTCATAGGTACGCAGAGACAGGTCTTGGTGTGATGGTGAGTTGTTTCTTGCTAAGTGTGTAAAATATACCCCTACTCGTTACATGACATGTCCCTGCTTGGTAACATTTCTCCCAGCTACACCCTGAGCTGTGATCTGGGCCTTTGTTTGGCCCGGGTGTGCATGAACAGGCGGGGGTGTGACCTCCAGCCTATTTTGTCTCAGCATCTGTCCCTCCCACTAATCCCGCTTATCAACGGAGCTCTCTGTATCAGTGACAGCCACACTGACACATATGCTCCCGTCTGGATTCACATCAGACACAAGTACATGGATTCATTTCCCCATCAGTACTATTTCCAGTGTTTTATTTATTTATTTTCAACCAAGCTCCTACCTATAGGGACCAAAAGGACGCTGCATTCATTGCCTGACGCCTAACATAGTCAATTATTAATGACATTATCTTACAGTAGCTTTTTCCATGAGCATTGCTAGAGATGCTAACAGTAGCAGTGATTAAAAAAAAAAACAAGCTTTCTTGTCAATGAAATGTGAAAGGAAGATTGTGTGTGTGTGTGTGTGTGTTTTACCAGGATGAGAGTGTGTAATTGCTTAGACTAGGGCAGCCCTCCTCAGTCAAAGAGGGAAAAATGGCCTCTCTGTGTTGTTGCATTTTCTGCCTCCTTTCATGGCGGCTGGCTGCTCTGTGTTCTCTTGCTCCCCTCTGTGGGAGCTTTCTTACAGTGCAGCCCTCTGTGTTCCTGGCAGATACTGCGTAGAGGTCGCTTTAGTGCAGCGGTTCGCTGCAACTTGGTCTTCACCTTACAATATCAGATCCTCTCACTTTTCATCAGTCAATACCTCACCTTTGTCACAGGGGAAATCCCTGTCGAACACTGTGCTTGGTCTGAAGATATGAATCAGGCAATAATGTGTACTGGAAATACCCTGTTTTCACTATGATTTGAAAGATGCTGCCAACTTACACGTGTTTTGTTCATGGAATAAAAGAAATGACACACAGTTGAGCTGATCATGAATTTATGCTAGCAGTGATGCTTCTATGCAGTGCTAACTGGTTTTCTTTGTTCCCCCTCTCTTTTGTCTGTCTGCTTTTTCCTCTTATCTCCTTCTACATGTTTAGGCCTTGTGAATGCACTTAGATGTCTGCAATGACTGCTGTGGCTGGCATGCCTCAGTGTTTTGGACTCCCATTCTCTGGACTCAGTAGGACAAGAACTGATCAGCAGAGAACGTCATGAGCATAGTCATCCCAGTAGGGGTGGACACAGCAGACACCTCATACCTGGACATGGCTGCAGGCTCAGAGTGAGTAACACAGAAAAACGCACAGAGCCTTCCACATTCACACATTTTCTTCCCTCTCATTTCCTCTTGTCATTCTTTCTTGTATGCATTCTTTAGCCTTTGGCTTTGCCAAGACTTGATTCTCAGTAATCACTGTTCTGTGAAACCTTTCACAATTTCCCTGGTTCTGTTCTCATCACTCACTCTTCTTCACTGTTATATACAGTAGATGCACTTAGCGCTCATTTGATATATGGTTTCACCTGTCTCTCTCATCTCTCTGTATGCCCCAACATGCCCTCTGTAATGACTAAAGCAGCTGTGTCGTCTTTTGACTTTTCTTGTAGTTTGCTTTAACTCTATTTCCTCATAGATCTTCTCTCTCACATTTACAGTGTTACTGTTAATGGGAAAGGGATTGTATTCCATGGAAACAGGGCCCCTCCATTGTCTGCTCTAATGGACAGTTTCGTCATGCCGTTGATTACACTTGCACTCAACCACTGTTCATCATGGTGACACTGACACGTAAAACTGCCTGTAAGGCTAGAATGTAGCTTTACGTGTGCAGTATGTGTTTATAACACTTTTATAATGCTGTAGCTTGATGTTTGCACATGTGTATATATGCTGCAATCCATCAGTGGAGCAGAAATGGTGCATGGCGCCATGGCAACAAGCTTCCTATTGCCCCTCCTCTGTGTTTCCCATAGTCTTGTCAAGGACATGTGCGTGGCTTCTTCTGGTCAAATAAATGAAACAAGATGTTCTTGTATGACTAAAGAATAACACACGTCATCAACATATAGAGGGGCTCCTGTCTCTTTAAAAGAGTGAGAGCCCTCCCCCTTGCCTTCATCAGAGCTGTTGCCGTGACAGCTTGTGTTGCCATGGTATCTGCCCCCCCCCAGCACTGCGCAGCGCCTGTTGCCATGGTCACTGGCCTGAGTGACAGGTGGTCCTCACATAGATATGGTGTCTTAAGCAGCCCCACTGCGTCCTCCTGCCCCCCTCCTCCTCTCCATGGAGCTCTGCTGCCACCAGGAGTAGGAGTAAGCCCTTCGCCTGGACTCTTATTCACTCTTTGTCTGTCCGCGCTCTGCATCTAATCACCAGCTACAGATCTATTCAAACGCAGATAACAAGCTTGAAGGGGGCTTCCACCTCCAGGTCCCATCCAGACCACAGGGACAGAGCGCAGCTGGACACGCACATACACACAGTTCTGAGGAGTATTGTGATTGCACCAGCCGAGTCTGGAACAGTGTGGCTGGCTACTCACCAGAAACAGCATCATGTCCTCTCCACATCCCCCTGAAGTCTGCAGCAGTGTGACCAGCTGTTGGCTAATGCAGTATGTGTCCACAGTGACACGGAGAGCCTAATGTGCGCACACGCTGAAAGAATATGTAGTGTTGCCATGGCAGCGAGTAGGAGCTCTTTTGGAGTGAAGGCGTTGCCTCTGGCTGTTCAGTGCTGCTCTTTTTCTCTCCTGCTGTTGATCTCTCCCTTCTCCATGCTCATCCACTCTGCCACTTAAGCCCTCTCAGCAGGTGTTTGCATTTTAAAGGACATCTGTTCCTTGTTTAAATATCTGACATTTATGAGCTATAAATAGTACACACCTAGCTGCCACCATATCTTTTCATATGAATGATGTGGCTAATGTCTGACATGAAGGCATGATCACTACTGAATCTCTCTGCATCCCTTCCACTTATGTGTGCTCCAGCTCTGCACACATACATTCAACCACGCTTTCTTCCTTCCCACTGAACAGGCTGGGTCACTTGTTTGTCTTCTGTCTGCAATTGTGTGTCCTTTCCGTCTGTCTCTCACTGATTTACTGGTAGGTCAGACTGAGGAGAAAGGTCCAGTTCTGAATAATTGGCTTGAACCTATAAAAATGTGCCCTTTACACTTTGAATGATACATGCCTCAATCAGATCTTAGTCTCTGTATTATAAAATGTAGACTTTGGTCTGGTTAAACATTAATGGGTGCAAGTTAGTGAGCCTACTACACACTCAAGTATGGTTTTTAAATTTTCCCTCAGTCTTTAAAGTTAGCTTCATTCTACACACTTAAATGTTTACACAAATTTATCTGTGTGGCAGTTAATCTGTTGTGTAAACATGCACAAATACACACACCTTATCCTGGGCCCGCCTCCAGATCTCATGCATGCACTTGCGTTTTCACTTTGACAGTGAATAGTTGAGCGGCAATACACACAGGAAGTGTTGCACAGTGCTCTTACAGCGTGCAACAAGAGCAAAAGGGTTAAGAAGGGCTCACGCAGGTACCTTACTACAACTTTACCTTGGGAATCACTTGAAAAGGAGGTGAGTTTAGAAGAGGGAGGAAGGAAACAGAGGGACAAAGATAGAAATGCCTTTTTTCTTTCCATATTTCACTAATGTCATTAATACTTGCTCCAGCTACGTAGTTCTTTTTCTGTAGCTTCTAATAGGGCAGGTTCTTGTCACTGTAATTATTTTTTTGTTATTAAGGTAATCAAAATATGCCTGTTATGGAGTCATAGTATGGGAAAAGCTGAACAGCGCTACTTAATGCTGGCTGGCCTGTTCATAGTCCCCATAGTCCTTTAGTATTTTGTAACCACCTTACTTGGTATACTTCAGGGGCTGTCCATAATGCTTACTGGGCTTTTCTTCATGAATTTTGGCCTTTTTGTAGAGTATTGTTCACAGTAGCCCAGATGGAGTTAGTTGGTATCGGGTGTATTTATTTTGTTTGATGTCTAGAGATAGAGCAGAGAAGGAAAAAGCTCCCCAGCTGTCACGTAAACGTTTCTGTGGTTGTTGTACATCTCTGACCTTGGAACATATTTTTTAGACAGGACTCTGAAAATGAAGATGTTTTCCCATGATTGAATCATTAAGGCATGTGATGTCTGTCAAATGAATTAAATTGTCTCTGTCTTGCATGCATCTTGCTTGTCTTGTAGTTCTCAGTGTCTCCTCATATATCCCTCTTTCCAGATCCACTTCCCCATTTATCTGGAGTCCCCCCCTTTAGCAATAGAAGAATTGATTAATCATGTCATAATAAAGATGGGTTGATCTCAAACGGCCAAACAGGCTCGCTCTCCGACTGCACTGCGATCCCAGGGAAAGTGGATTTACTGGTTTGGTGTGAATAGGCTTGAAAAAAATGATTGGGTGTTTGTTGTTTTGTGTGACTAAGCGGTGGCATGTTTCTGATGACTACCCACCTTGTAGATATAGGTCAGGGATAAACATGCATTTTTTTGACATTTATTTCTGTTAACTGTCTGACTCTCAAGCCTAGGTAGTCTAGCTAATTGATATGATTGCAGACACTGCGTTTCTCGGTGCGGGGTGGCTGCCTGCTGCCCCTGACCCTCTAATTGTTACTCTCATAGCTATAGCATGCGTTTATAATCTGGCCACTATCTGCTTGCTAAGTGTGACGTAATATTCCACTTCCAGGTCCAAACTCCCCCGGACCCAAATGGCGGAACCTGTCACCCTCTACACAATGTCATCTTTTTTTTTGGCAAGGAATCAGACTACATTCTTAAGATTCAAATAGAGCAGTCAGTGTTGTTCCACCTGGTGGCATAATAACCAAACTTTATTTTATGTTCTAGTAAATTAATTCAAATATAAGGCTACATATATATATCGAATTGCATATCTACCTCTTTTTTTTTAATAGTTCCCAGCTTTTACTGTTACTTTCATCAGTGTAAAATGTGTCAATGTATAGTGTTTGCATTAACTTCATATACAAGGCAGCAAAACGGCACACCTTTAGAAGTTTTATTTGTATTAATTTAAGAATACTGTGACTTATCTAATCAACTGTAGCCATTTCTTTTTCTCCTTTCCATCACAAGGAAAGCTGACAGCTGACCCGTGATTTTTGATTCAGATCTATTGAAACAATAGGCAAAACAACACTGGGGGATATGGAGAGGAGGAGAACAAACCAAAATTTGGACCTGGAAACAGAATGTTATGTCACCACTTAACAAGCAGATACTGTACCTCTGTGTCAATAGCAGTAGCTACCCCACTTCCCTGCTAAGCCTTCTTAATGCACACACTTCCTCACATTGTTGGAGGGAAACAATGCATGAGTTACTCTGAGTAACTTTTTTAGTGTACAGAAATTTATGTTCTTTGGTTATGTTGCTGCCCAACAGACCAGAATCAGTAGAGGCCAGCCCTGTGGTGGTGGAAAAGTCCAGCTACCCACACCAGATCTACAGCAGCAGTTCTCACCATTCCCACAGTTACACTGGGCTACCTTACGCTGTGAGTACACACGCCTGGCTTCCTCTTACTCTCTTACAAATAACCTACATACCTTTAGCCCTGCCTCTCTGTTAATCATTTAGTGCAGCATGACTAGCTCCCTTTTAGTTTGAAATGGAACTGTTAGGGACTGACTTCCTTGAAACCTTTGTGAATACAGGAAATTAGAGCTCTAACGTGTAGTTAAAATTAATCTGCAACTGTTTTGTTAATTGGTTAATCATTTAGATCATAATTGATAAGATCAGCTCTTGCTCTAGCTAATTGTGATTTTTTTTTTTTTTTGTGCGTGTGTGTTTTGTTTTCTGATGTTGTATAGACCAATCATTTAATCAAAAAATGAGCAGATAAAGCAATGATAATATTGTTAGCTGCAGTCCTATAGTCAAAAGTCCTATATTGACAAATAGTACACAGTGAGGGAGTTACTGCAGACACATGAAATGCAAGTATATGTATCCAATCCGCAAATGCATACTACACACACTTAAAACATGACCTGTGTGTGCAGTAGGACTGATGTACCAGTCTATTTCTATTACCTGTTTCTGTTTTTATTACCTGTTGCACCTGTTTACGTTTGGAGAAGTACAAAAATTGCAGTTGGTGCATGTCTAGTCCTTACCCTCACAAATGGGAACATGCTACATATTTGAATGACTTTTGCTTTGTGAGTTATCACTACACATTTGCCTACACCACATGACCATTGAATTTTCCATCCTTCCATCAGGACCATAACTATGGGGCACGGCCCCCACCTACACCCCCGGCCTCCCCTCCCCCCTCCATGTTGATCCGGCAAGGAGAGGGGGGTGTGTTTGTGCCAAGGGGCCAGGACGAAGCATCCAGGGGCACCACACTTAGCACCTCTGAAGATGGCAGCTACGGGGCTGACATCACCCGCTGCATATGTGGCTTCACCCATGATGATGGCTACATGATCTGCTGTGACAAGTGCAGGTGAAGAGCCCGGTCAAAACAAGTAGTCACAAGCCTCGACTAGTGTTGACTCAGGCCTTTTTTTTCATCCTTTTGTGTGCTGTGGGTTCTGTTATTTGACCTCATTGTTTTCCAGATCTTTCCTTGATTTTAATTTCTTGGTGACTCAGACATCTGTTTCTCCTGAGACAAGTTTGTTATTAACTTTTAAACTTCAAACAGTGACTTGAAAATGTATTAAAAGCCTTTCCTTATGGTGTTTTTAGTGCCTGGCAGCATATCGACTGCATGGGCATTGACAGGCAGAACATTCCTGAGACCTACCTGTGTGAACGCTGCCAACCTCGACACCTGGATAGAGAGAGGGCTATCCTGCTGCAGACCAGGAAACGAGAATGTTTGTCTGGTAAGCAAGATGTCATAGATGCACATACAGGCCCTAGTCTTCATAAAAACATTGTTTAACTGTGAATAGTTGGATCAGATACAGTGGCATATTGTTATTTTGATAGCTGCATTCCCCAGTGCACAATATGAGGTGTTTTGAGGAGATTTCTGTGGAAGGCTTTATATAGATATTTCTGTTCTGCCTTCACTGGGTGCCCTGCTGCAGTAAAAGTCCACCTTGTTAGTGAACAGAGCTGGTTGTAAGCTGTGTCAGGGTGCAGATTTCATCCAGCCTGAGCCTGGGACACACTGACACCTGCTGGACATGTTGCAAACTAACCATCCATCCATTATCTATACCACTTATCATGAAGGGTACACGCTGGACAGGTTCTGGTCTGTTACAGGGCTGTTGCAAACTATCACGTTTTAATCTGTGCTCTGTAATGTATCCTATCTTCCATTATTGTAATTTGACTAGCTCTCGTTTTGCCTGCAGCAGCTGTAGCTTTTTTATAGCCTTGTCTCATTTCAGTTCTCGCTCCTACTCACAAATATATGCTTGTTCAGATGGGGACACCAGTGCCACAGAGAGTGGAGATGAGGTGCCGCTAGAGCTCTACTCCACCTTCCAACACATGCCTACCACAATTACCCTGACTACTGGGCGTCTTCCAAATAAGCAGGCTGATAAAAAACGTAAGAAGAGTGGTGAAAAGGAGCCTCCAGCATCTTCTGCCCGAGCTAAGAAGGTCAGCTTTGTCTTAATAATGAAACAAGTTTATGCACATTATTATATACTTGAACTTCCATTAACATTGAAGTTTCAATTTCTTTATTCTGACAGGCTTTCCGAGAGGGGTCAAGAAAATCGTCCAGAGTAAAGGTAAACTTGCAGAAGCAACACAGAACTACTGTCCAAAGACTTGAGTAGGTGCCCTCTGTCAGTACTTGTATAACAACTGTACTGTTTGCCCTCAGGGTGCAGCTCCAGAGCAGGAGCCAACGGAGCACCCGTCTCTGTGGGAGAACAAGATAAAGACGTGGATGGAGCGTTATGAGGAGGCCAACAGCAATCAGTACAGCGAGGACGTCCAGGTCCTATTGCGTGTTAAAGAGCAAGGCGATGGCAAGAGCCTGGCATATAACACACACCCAGCCTCTTTTAAGCCACCTGTGGAGGTACTTCATACATTTGTACTGTAGTCATAAAAATATGATAATTTGCTACAATCATCATTAAAGCTGTCTTTGGCACATGCACACATGCCTTGCCTAATACGTTTGTGGTACCTGGCTCTGTTTCCCTTGCAGAGTCAAGTTCAAAAAAACAAGAAGATCCTCAAGGCGGTGCGAGACTTGGCCCCAGACTCCCTCATCATTGAGTACAGGGGAAAGTTCATGCTTCGACAGCAGTTTGAGGCCAACGGATACTTCTTCAAAAGGTCAGGATGCTAGTTGCTAGTCAAAAGGATTTCTCCTAGGATTTGTTGAATCAAATAGGGATGTGTTTTTTTTTTTTTTTTTATGTAGGTTGAACACGTTAACCTATGAAGAGGCCTGTGATCATCTGTGATAGGCAGCAATGCAGTGTAGTTCACTATATTGTGGTGTATTTTTATCTATTGTTATCACTTACGAATTGACCTCTCTTGCTTCCCTTTTTAGGCCATACCCTTTTGTGTTATTTTATTCTAAATTTGACGGACTGGAGATGTGTGTGGATGCTCGCAGCTTTGGCAATGAAGCACGCTTCATCCGTCGCTCCTGCACCCCCAATTCTGAAGTAAGTAATATTCCAAAATAGTTTTAATGCATAGTTAAAAACTATTTGTTTTTACTAATGTTTGCTGAACTTCCCTTAGGTGCGGCACGTCATTGAAGATGGCATGCTGCATTTATACATTTACTCACTGAGGCCGATCACCAAGGGCACAGAGATCACCATAGGCTTTGATTTTGACTATGGCAGCTGGTGAGTTATAAGGCATCAGCTTGGCATGCAGAACCACCGTAACAAGGAAAGATGATTTCAGCTTCAGATGTAACATTGCTTTTTCTTCCTCTTTTGTTTCTTTCTCTTCTCTTAATACTTATAGTAAATACAAGGTGGACTGTGCTTGTGTGAAAGGGAACCAGGAGTGCCCAGTGCTCAAGCACAACCAAGAGCCCACAGAGAACCTGGGCCCTGGAGGCAGGCGCAGAGGGAGTCGTAAGGACAAGGAGGCAGCCCGGGATGACCAGGGCCAGAACCAGAACATGGGTTTGGATGGTGAGGGGAAGGGCAAGAGTGTAGGTGACGGCAAACAGAGAAAACTTTCTCCTCTTCGTCTCTCCATCTCAAACAACCAGGCAAGACCACACTTTTGTGAAATTCACCCTTGTTGCACCCACTGCCACCCTTCTTTATTACTTTTTAATATACATTTGCACTTGTGGTCCATTCATACAGTTTCGTTTGATCTTTGTGAAATGCTCTGTGCATGTGTTTCCATTGTTAGTTAATCTTTGTTATTATACATCCTCTTTAGTTCCTGTTTTTCCTCCCAACTAAAATTTTGATGACACAGCTCAAATTCCACTGCACAAGACACTGTTTTGTGCCACTTGCCTGGCAGAGATATTAAACTGCGTTACTCTTTTGTGCAGAGGTTGATGTTCAACACAATTGGACAACGGTGTCTCTCTTGCATGTATTAACTAAATATTTAGGTCTCTTCTGTCATCTATTCCAGAATGGCAATTTTAACTTGGCACAACCAAGCCAAATAATTATAAATGGGGTTCATTCAGAAGTTTGAATTCAGAGAAATATTGTTTCTGTTAAAGGGCATTTGAAATCTTGGTGGTGGTCTTGACCATTTAGAAATCAGTCTTGTGTGTCACATAGCTTAAGTTGTATGAAGTAAGAGTGGTTTAGAATTGTCACAGCTGTAACACAAGAGATGTCCCAGCAAAGGAGCATAAACACAAAAAGGCTTCACTGTTACATCCATATGCTTAGACTCAAGGCAGGGCTCAGCATTAGCTGCTACAATGTTCATTTTGTGACAGAGGTCTGTTTTATACCATCATTTCTACACAGGTCACTGTGTGTGACCAAAGACAGGTTTGGAGCAGTTGTATGTTGTGCACAGGCTGACCCCTCAAGATAAAATAGGGTTACTCCCCCTGTACATTTTCAGAATACTCCCCCCTGCCCCTCCCTCTCTCCTTCACTTCCCCTCTCCTCCACTCTTACCTTCTCCCCTCTAGTCTGTAGCCAGACTGAATGATCAGCCATGATAAAGCGCCATACCCCGCTCTCCCCTCCTCTTACAGGATCCTGAGTTATATGAGGATCTAGAAGACAAAACCTCCGTTAGCAATGAAGTAGAGATGGAGTCAGAGGAGCAGATTGCAGAGAGGAGGAGGAAGATGGTAAGTGTGCCAAGCTAGGGGCTACAGCTTTTTTTGCCATGCAGCCACCCAGCAGAAAGATGGAGAATAAAACTCAAACTCTGCCCTGTTGCTCTGGGTGTGGACTAGCAGTTTCTCTGCTAAGGGGGCTATGGCTTGGATAGGAGGAGCTGTCCTTTGTCTTCCATAAAGTGCCCTTCTTTTCATCACTCAGCTACTGCTAGCACTCCCAACCTTGTCAATGCCGCTGTTGCTATTTTGCTCAGTCCCTTCTTCAGCTCTGACGTCCCTCTTCTTCACTCTCTACTTAGCCTTTGTGCTTGTGTGTCATTTTGCAGTGACATTTATTTTTCTCACTCGTTTGCCTTTTTTCTTCACCATATGAGAAAATGATTAGGCCTCTAGTGCCACATGCTTGTTCACAACCCCATCTGCTCTCAGCAAGAGCAAACCCAATATATTGTCGTCATGCCTCCTGAAACTACCCCCCAGTGTGCAATAGGAGTACAGCACTCCTCTCACCTTCACTGTAGCCACGAGTTAACAATGGCCTTTTAATGGTTCAGCCACTTTCCTGTTCCTCTGCCAGACAGCCTAATGTCTGTGAGAGATGAGATCAAATGCATAAACAGATGCGTGCATGGTACACGTTGAGACACACACACACACACACACACACACAATTACTCAGCAGTCAGCTTTGTTTCACATGGTGAGCCCAAGGTGTAAAGTGCTGACTCATCTTTGGCCAGCATATAGTTCTGCTAATCGGCTAGAGAGCGATAGATAGGTGAGAGGAGGGGCTGCAGAAAGTAGAGCCTTGTTGCCAGGGCCGTATTGACTTGGGAAGATCCAATAGGCTGCCTTCTCTGGAATGTGGCCCAGGAGAGAAAGTTCTGCTACTGTAGCAAGGATGTGTACATTCACACACTGACGATCACCAGCATAGTGGATGCATGTGGGTGTTGTAAATCCATGCTGCAACAAAGTACAGAGGACATAACATCAGTGCATATTAGCATAATATCTTGCCTACCCAAACTAAAGCCTCTATTGGTTGGAAAGTTTTCCTGGCTGTTTGTGTAATGCCCACCTTACTGAATGTTTGAATGTGTAGGCGAAATTATGGATTACTAATGGTATTTTTTGCTTGGTATTGTTTCAAATCTGTGTTGTTGGTGGGTGACTAGTTAAGAAGGTTGTATTGTCTTATAAAATTAGAGGGATTATCGTATTGATGGAAACACTCAAAGCAGATGGGCAGGTGTGAACTGGAAATGCCTCAGAGTAATTGAGAATATAGAATAGAATAAATTTGATAATGTATCTGTCTCCTGATTTTTAAGGTGCTTTTAGACTGCAACAGTGTTTAATTACGTTTACTACAGGTCGTACTTTGACAATTGTTGTTCCGCAAACGTGCATCTGCTTGGTTTCTGTAAGGGCGTGAATGCTTCACTGTGCTATTTAGGATCGTGTTGGATTGCTGACAATTTTACCACATTTCTCTCAAGGTTGTCAGAGATTCACTAGACAAGATCTGTCTAGTGTTTGTGGAGCCTTGTTTAGGGGCAGCACGTCTCTTCTAAACAGGGCTCTCTCTTTATTGAACATTCAGGCCAACTTAGCGGAACAGTCTCATCTGCCTGTCGGGGCAGCTTCCAGCTGGAAGGAATTGAAACACAAAGAGGTAAACTTGACCCATGTGTAGCCAACCCACCTGTCGTCCAGCATCTCCTATCTTCAAATCTCCTAGTGGTGACTGACTTCTAAGGACACTAACTGTCCCGTCTTTACAGACCCCAAACTTTAGCCTCACCAGTGCAGACACAAGTGCGTTGTCTCAGTATGTTTCAAGATACAAATCTATTTTCAAAGGGGTGCTCTGACTGAAGGTTTCTGGTGAAGGTAGCCATGTTTTCCATATAAGGAGTGTGGGGAAATTTGTAGCACAAATATACCCCAATCAGGCATAACATTATGACCACCTGCCTAATACTGTTTACATAGGAGTCAATGTGGCAGTTGGTTGGCACTCGTGTCACTCTGCAGCTCACTGTGCTTCTTCTGTGAATCCATTTGCTTCCACAGTTCTACTGTCAGGAAGAGCACAGATGTGTCTACAAGTCAGTGAAAAACTTATGTAAAAGGAGTGAAAACTGGTCGTGAGGACAAGTTAGAGAGAATTCAACAGCCTCACCTCTCTAGGTGTGATATCACCACTACAGCCCCTGACTCTTTCTCTTCATAGAGACCAATGTACAGTATTTCTCATTTTCAACCATTTTAACAAAGATTCAAATA